GGGATAGGAGGGGACAGGAGGGGGACACAGCCTGGGATAGGAGAGGACAGGAGGGGGACACAGCCTGGGACAGGGAGACACAGTCCGGGATAGGGGGGGACAGGAGGGGGACACAGCCCGGTCCCGGGGCGAGGGGGGCCGGGCCGAGGGTCAGAATGGGGACACAGCCTGTGCCGGGACAGGGCACGGGGACAGCCCGGCCCGGAGGACCGAACGTGGCCCCAGCCCGGTCCAGGAGGGGCCCGGGCCCAGGGCACGGCCCGGCTCGAGTCCCGGCGGGGGCGGGGGGGGCCCGTCCCGCGGAGCGCACGGGCGGGGCAGGGGAGCAGCTCGGTCCCGGTCCCATTCCCGGTCCCTGTTCCATTCCCTGTCCCGATCCCGATCCCGATCCCATCCCGTACCTGCCGCCGCCTCCCGCGGGCACCGGAACCGAGGATCGGGGAGCGCTTCCGGGGCGGGGGCGGGGCCTGCGTGGGGGCGGGGACGGGGGGCGGGGCCACGGCGGGAGGGGCGGGGCCGGGAGCGGGATCGGGGGGAAAGGGATGGGGACACGGGATGGGGACACGGGATGGGGACACGGGATGGGGACAGGGCACACCACAGGGATCGGGACAGGACATGGGGACAGGGTCCCCCCCTCCATAAGCTGTGTCCCCCTTTTCGGAGCCGGGTGCCCCCCTTCCTACGGGGCTACGGGGCGGGAAGGGCCCCCTGGGGCACCCCCTGTCCCCTCACCCGTGGGTGCCACCTGGCCCGGTGCCGAATGGCCGGGAGCGGTCACTGCTGGTGGCTCCTTCCCACGGCGACGTTCGGCGGAGGCAGGGGGGCACAGGGGTGTCCGGCCCCACAGTCCCCGTGTCCCCAACATCCCCAGGCTCTGTCCCTGTGCCCCCAACACCCTCAGGCTCTGTCCCCTGCTCAGCCTCCCCCCTTCCTCCTGGCACATCCCACGGGCAGCCTCGGCTGCTCCTGGATCCACTTCCGTGTTTTTTTGGGGGATGAAGGGTGTGGTGGGACCTGCTTCTGCTGCGGGACAGCGGGGACACCACGGGATTCTCTGGGGATCCATGGACTGGCTGCTGATTGGCTGGGATTTACACAGCAGGGAGTTGATTGGCTGGGATCTGTGCACCTGGGTGTTGATTGGCTGGGATCTGTGTAGCTGGGAGGTGTTTGGCTGGGATCTATACAACTGCCTGTTGATTGGCTGAGCTCTCTGGACACGTGTGTTGATTGGCTGGGATCTCTGCACCTGGCTGCTCATTGGCTGGCTGCCATGTATGTGGCTGTTCATTGGTTGAGCTGTCGGGATCCACCCACAGGTGGGTGCTGATTGGCTGGACTGCAGCTGTGCTGATTGGCTGGGTGGTCTGTGAGGGCTGATTGGCCCCTGGGCAGGATGGGCTGACTGGGCAGGCCGTCCACGAGCGCTGATTGGCCAGGCGGTCCATGGTGGGCGTGGCTGTCTATGGTGGGCGGAGCTTGCTGCAGTGGGCAGGGCTTCCCATGATTGACAGGCAGGTCGGTCCGTGCTCAGGACCCAAGGGCAGGATTTTGAGGGGCTCAGAGGGGTCCCCCTCCCCTCCCAGCCCCTTCCCAGCCAGGAGGGCAGAGCTGGCTCTCCCCCCGACTCCCTGCCTAGAGCCCCCCCAGCACCCACAGGGGAGTCCCCTCTCCCTTGGGACAGAGGAACCCGGGGGGACCCTCCTGGCAGCCCAGGGTCCCCCCTCCGCCCCCCTCTCCCAGTCAGTGTTATACCCCCGGGGGTGGTCTGGGTGCTGAGCCCCCCCCAGGGTCCCTGCCCTGTCATCCCACCCGTGGGGGAGGGGTGTCTGTACCCCCCGGGGGTCTCCCCTCTCTGTTTCACAGAGGACAAGACTCTGCTCTACCCTGGGTGGTCCCGGCTCCCTTCCCAGGGCTCCCACTCCCTATTCCTGGGGGTCCCACTCCCTTCCCGGGGGTTCTGCCCAGGGAGTTCATGCTCCCATTGGAGGGCTCCCCACTCCCTTTCCATGGGGGCCTCACTCTGTCCTCGGGGGTCTCCCCTCCCTTTCTGAGGGTCCCACTCTCTGTCCGGGGGGTCCATACTCCCTTCAGGCACCGCCCAATTCCCACGGGGTCCTTACTCTGCCCTTGGAGGTCCCTGCTCCCTTCCCGGGACTCCCATTCTCTATTCCTGCCCGGAGGATGAGTGCTCTCTTCAGGAGCATCCCCCTGCTTCCTTGGGGGTCTCAGCCTCTATTCCGGGGGATCCCCCTCTACCCAGGGAATCCGTGCTCTCTTCATGAGCTCTCCACTCCCTTCCCGGGGCTCCCATTCTTTATTCCCAGTGGTCCTGCTCCCTGCCTGGGGGATCCATGCTCCCATCAGGAGCATCCCATGTCCTTCCCTGGGCTGCCATCCTTTTTTTCCCTGGGGTCTTACGGGATGCGAGCAGGAAGCCTGGGGGATTCCCTTCAGGAGCATTCCCCTCCCTTACCGGGGGTCCCACTCTTTATTCCAGCGGTCCTGCTGTGTCCTGGGGGTGCCAATCTCTGTTCCGGGGTCCTGCTGTACCCCGGGGTCCCAATCTCTGTTCCGGGGTCCTGCTGTGCCCCGGGGGTCCCAGTTGTCTTGCCGGAGGGTTCCCAATTCTCTCGCCGGGGGGGTCCCCACTCGCAGCCCGTGCGACTCCCTGTCCCCACCGCATCCCCCTGCTCTGCCGGGGCGTGGCCGCGGGATGTCCCCGCACCCCCGGGGCTGCGGCGGCGACGCGGGGCGGTGCCGGTGCCGGTGCCGGTGCCCTCCCCCGCTGCCGGTGGCGGGGGCGGAGCGGCCTCCCCGAGCCCTATAAAGCGGGGCGTCCGCGGCGGTGCCGCAGCGAGGGCGGGGGGGTCACCATGAGCCTGATGCTGGAGACGCTGCTGGGCCCCCCGGGGGGGCTCCGCAAGGAGCCGGGCCGCGTTCCCCGGGGCTCCGCCGCCTCCAGCGGCTTCTACTCGTGGCCGGCGCCGGTGGCAGGGCGGGCGCGGGGCGCGGGGGGCGGCGGCGGCAGCGCGGCCGCGTCCTCCACCGAGAGCCTGGACTCGCTGAACGGCGAACCGCGGGCGCGCAACGAGAAGGAGCTGCTGCAGGTGCTGAACGACCGCTTCGCCGGCTACATCGAGCGGGTGCGGGCGCTGGAGCAGCAGAACCGGGCGCTGGCGGCCGAGGCGGCGGCGCTGCGGCAGCAGCAGGCGGGGCGCTCGGCCATGGGCGAGCTGTACGCGCGGGAGCTGCGGGACATGCGGGGCACCGTCCTGCGCCTGGGAGCCGAGAAGGGGCAGCTGCGGCTGGAGCGGGCCCGCCTGGCCGAGGACGTGGCGGCGCTGAGGGGGCGGCTGGAGGACGAGGCGCGGCAGCGCGGGGAGCTGGAGGCGGCGGCGCGGGGGCTGGCGCAGCGCTCGGCGCAGGAGGAGCGGGCGCGGGCGCCGCTGGAGGAGCGGGCGCGGGCGCTGCGGGAGGAGGCGGAGATGCTGCGGAGGCAGCACCGCGCCGAGGTGGGAGCGCTGCTGCGGGGGGCGCGGCCGGAGCCCTCCGCCGAGCCCCCCTCGGCGCTGCGGCCCGGGGTCACCGCCGCGCTCCGGGACCTGCGCGCACAGCTGGAGGGCACGGCCGCCCGCAGCACCCTGCAGGCGGAGGAGTGGTTCCGCGGTGAGTGTGAGGGGGGAGGCCCTGCTCCTCCCTGGGGACGCCCCTCCGGGAGCGGGTCAGAGGAAGGGCGTGCCCGGGGACCACCCCTCTCATCCCTGTGTGCCGCGCTCCGGGAGGGTTTTAGGGTGACCCCACTCCGGGAGGGGCAAGGACCCCCCATTTAAACTGTGCCTTGGGAGGACATTAGGGGACCCCCACTCCAAGGAAGTGCAGAGACCCCCTCCATTTATACTGTGCTGCGGGAGGATGTTAAGGTACCTCCACCCTTGTGGGAGGGGCAGGGACCCCCCCAGTTAAATTTTGCTTTGGGAGGGTATTAGGGGACCCCACTCCCAAGGGACGGCAGAAATCCCCTCTATATCCAGTGCTCTGGGTGGGAATCAGGGTAGCCCCACCCCTGCCCCTAGCCCCCCGGTGCCTGTGGGTGCTCCCACTCCCGCCCCGCAGTGCGTTTCGAGGAGGGTGCCAGGATCACGGCACCCCGCAAGTTTTTGGAGTTCCCTCCCCCATGCTGCAGGGTGTCCTCCTGGTCCCTGTCGGCTGGGGCGAGGCCAGAGGGGGTTCGCAGTGCGGGACGGGGGGGCGGTACCGCATCCCTAATGCGGGAGGGGGGAGGGCAGGGAGTAACCCTTCGGGGGGGGGGGCTCAGCACCCCCGAGGCTCAGCACCCCGAGGCTCAGCACCCCCGAGGCTCAGCACCCCGGGGCTCAGCGCCCATGGGCGCAGGGCGGGTCCAGCACCGCGGACAGCGGGCTTTCAGCACCGCGGGCAGCGGCAGCGCGGACCTGTGGGAGCGGGTCCCGCGGGGCGGGGGCTGCCCCGGGAACCGCAGGATCTGTGTCCCACCCTTCCTGTCCCCTTTTCCTGTCCCCCCCATCCCCATCCCTCGGGGTGTGTCCGCAGGGCTCTGCGGCAAACCCCCCCACCGCGCCTCGGCCCGGGGTGCGGTGTGTGGGTGCGGTGATGCGGGGAGTCGGGGGGGGGCTGTGGCATAGCCCGAGGAGGGGTCTGCGGAGAGGGTCTGCACTGGGTGACGCCCAGCACGACGAAAACGCCCACCCAGCCGGTCGTGCCCGTCCTCCTCCAGCCCCCAGCAGGATGGAGCTGCCTTCCTTCGGGAGGGTCCTCCTTCACCTCCCAGGGCAAGGGGTGGGAAGGCAGCGAGCCCGGGGAGCCTGGGCCGGCTCAACAGAGGACACCAGGCAGGGATGTGTGGAATGGCAGGATCTGAGGTTCCCCCAGAACTGCTGCCTCTGTCCCTGCCCCCCTCCACGTCCCCCTTCCCGTTGCAGTGAGGCTGGACAAGCTGTCAGAGGTGGCCAAGGTGAACACGGACGCCATGAGAGTGGCCCAGGAGGAGATCACCGAGTACCGCCGGCAGCTCCAGGCCAAGACCACCGAGCTGGAGGCTCTCAAAGGGACCCAGGAGTCACTGGAGAGGCAGAGGCAGGACTCTGAGGAGCGGCATCACGCAGATGTCCTGTCCTACCAGGTAACCTGGAGCAGGGATTGTCTCCTGGGGAGGGACCCTCCGGCTGCCAGGGCGGAGCAGCGCTGGTGTTTTGGCCACGAGCTCTGGCACATCCTCAGGGCTGTGTCTGGGCCTTCCCCAGCCCCCCAGATCAGATTCTCAGAGCCTGAGGTGGTGTCCAGGCTGCCATGCCCCTCATGCATGTGATGTTGGTCACGAACTCCGTGGAATCGTGTCCAAGGTTCAGGCCCTGTACTGTGTCCCAGGCTTGGGAAGTGAGGGCTGCACTGGGTGTTGGCCTTGGACTGAAACACCGTCCCCAGCGTGATGCCCTGTCCCCATCCACCTCAGGCCGGGATTTTGTGGTCACTGGACTTTCCCATGTGGGAGAAACCTTCCCACAGCTCATCCTGGCTGGAGGGAGTGCTGGGAGGAGCTGGAGTCCCCCCTGCCAGGTCTCCCGAGGGAACTGGACATCCTGGAACAGCCCCTGGATGTGTCCCCTTCCCTGTGTGTCCGCGGGAGGAAGTGGTTGCAGACCCCTGTCCCCCCACAGCCCATGTCACACTCCTGCTGCTCTGTGTGCCCACAGGAAACCATCCAGCAGCTGGACAGCGAGCTGAGGAACACCAAGTGGGAGATGGCAGCTCAGCTCCGGGAATACCAGGATCTGCTCAACGTCAAAATGGCCCTGGACATCGAAATTGCTGCCTACAGGTACAGGGTGGGCAGGGCAAGGGTGGTGGTGGGGGAGTCTCAGCCAGGGCTGCTCAAGGTGTCCCCCGGGCTCTTCTCGGTGAGAACCATCCATCCCCTAAGATTGACATCCAACTGCGTGATCCAGCCCTGGAGTGTGGAGGGAAGGGTGATGAAACCTGCCCAGCCCAGGAGGGTGATCCAGGGCAGGGAGGGAGATTGAACTGCAGGACAGGGCTGGCAGCTCCTGGTCACGGGAGAGGAGGAGAAGCCATCACTGACTGCCCTACTCTGGTCTCTTCCTGGCAGAAAGCTCTTGGAAGGGGAGGAATATCGGCTCGAGACCGGCATTGGGATGCTCTCCTACCCCGAGGTGGTCCCCAAGGCTCCCAGCATCACCACCAACATCAAGGTGAAGAGCGAGGAGAAGATCAAGCTGGTGGAAAAGTCGGAGAAGGAGACGGTGATAGTGGAGGAGCAGACGGAGGAGATCCAGGTGACCGAGGAGGTCACGGAGGAGGAGGAGGCTGAGAAAGAGGCGGAAGAGGAGAAAGCTGAAGAGGAGGAAGAAGAAGAGGAGGAGAAAGCTGAAGAGGGTGAAGAAGAGGCCAAGTCTCCTGCAAAAGAGGAGGCCAAGTCTCCAGAGAAACCTGAGTACCCCTCAAAGGAGGAGGCCAAGTCCCCTGAAAAGCCCCCAACCCCCTCCAAGGAGGGGGCCAAGACTCCAGTTGTGAAGTCCCCAGAAAAACCTGCAACCCCCTCCAAGGAGGAGGCCAAGACCCCCACGGTGAAGTCCCCTGAGAAACCTGCACCCCCCTCAAAAGAGGGGGCCAAGACCCCCACCGTGAAGTCCCCTGAGAAACCTGCACCCCCCTCAAAGGACGAGGCCAAGACCCCCGAGAAACCCTCAGCCCCACCTAAGGAAGAGGCCAAGAGCCCGGCTGTGAAGTCCCCAGAGACACCTGCAGCTCCCTCAAAGGACGAAGCCAAACCCCCCTCTGTCAAATCCCCTGAAAAAGCCCCAACCCCCTCCAAGGAGGAGGCCAAGACCCCAACTGTGAAGTCCCCAGAGAAGCCCCCAACCCCCTCCAAGGAGGAGGCCAAGACCCCAACTGTGAAGTCCCCAGAGAAGCCCCCAACCCCCTCCAAGGAGGAGGCCAAGAGCCCAGCTGTGAAGTCCCCTGAGAAGGTCAAATCTCCTGGGAAGGAGGAGGCCAGGTCTCCACAGAAGGAGGTGGCCCCAGCCAAGGAGCCAAGCCCTGCTCCGAAGGAGCCGAAAGCCCCCGCGAAGGAGGAGCAGCCCAAGGAGGTGAAGGCTCCCTCCAAGGAGGAGGGAAAGAAGGAGGAACCTCCCAAGAAAGATGTCCCAGCCAAGGCAGAGGAGAAACCCAAAGAGAAGGTGCCAGAGCCTCCAGCCCCACAGGTGAAGGAGACCCCCAAGCCAGGCCCCAAACCTGCTGAAGAAGGAAAAGTCGAGAAGGAGACTCCACCAAAACCTCAGCAGGAGGTCGGCAAAGCGGCCGCCAAGGAGGCTGAGAAGCCAAAGGCTGAGGAGAAGGTGGAGGAACCAAAGAAAAAAGTGGAGGAACCCAAGAAGGAGAAGGTGGAGGAGCCCAAAAAAGAGAAGGTGGAGGAGCCCAAGAAGGAGAAAGTGGAAGAACCCAAGAAGGAGAAAGTGGAGGAACCCAAGAAGGAGAAGGCAGAGGAGCCCAAGAAAGTGGAGGAGCCCAAGAAAAAGGTTGAGGAGCCCAAGAAGGAGAAGGTGGAGGAGCCCAAGAAGGCAGAGGAGCCCAGGAAGGAGAAGGCAGAGGAACCCAAGAAAGAGGAACCCAAAGCCCAAGCAAAACCCAAAGATGAGCCCAAAGCCAGCAAGGACCCCCCCAAGGCCGAGGCCCCCTCCAGCAAGGAGGGCACGGCCCTGGAGCCGGCCCCCACTGCAGGGAAGAAGTGAGTGCAGAGTCCTGGGTGCCAACAGGCACTGCGGGCACGGGGGCTGCCCTGTCCCCCCCGAGGGCCGGGCCCGGGGTGGGACCCCCAGGCTGGGCTTCCCCTTAGCAATAGGCCCTGTGAGAGCCGCAGGGTGGGCGACGCTTCCCTCGCAGAACGTGATCCCCACATTTAACACTTGAATTATAACCCAGGAGAAGAGGGGAGACCCCCAGGGGGACCCCTCCACCCTTCTCCCCTAAGTGCATTTATTCAATGTATGTGCAATGGATGGACGAGTGCAATGCAGAGCTGTAGCTGCTTGGGGGGGGCTGGCGGGGTCCTGCCCTGCCCGGGGTGGGGGGACTGTCCCCTGGAGCAGCGGTGGGAGAGGCTGGGAGCTGCAGGAATTGCTCACAGACACGGGCTGGGAGCTGCAGGAATCGCTCACAGACACACACGGGTGCACCAGGAACCTCAGCCCACTGATCTTTGCTTACTGTGCAATAACCAAATAAAAGTGCTTACGGAGACATCCTGGCTCTGCAGGTCTGTCCTGGGGGGAGGGAGGGAGGGAGGGAGGGAGGGAGGGAAGGGAAGCAGGAAGGGGGATCCGTCTTTCCAGAGGGAAAACACACCCTCCAGTGCAGGCACAAAGGACCCCCCATGTCCTGGGGATGGAAACAGGGCCAGCCCCCCCACGCTTTCCCAAGGATTTCAGTGTGTTTTGTCCCTTCTCTTTTTAAAGCCTGGCTCCCAAGGGAGCAGGAGAGCCTGGATTAACCCAAGGGCTGCAGCACTGCACCCAGGGCAGGGGCTGTGGGGCAGCAGCAGGGGGGCTGTCAGCCCTCCTGGGGGACAAATCTCTCCCTGGAGAGGGGGGCAGGAGGGATAGTGCCCTTGGGAGCGGGGCTGGAGCCCCAGTTGTGCCTGCAGGGATGTGGGACAGGACCCACCCAGGGCAAGGAGGGGGCACAACCCAACTCCTGGTGCCAACCAGGGTGAGCTGGGGGGCTGCCATGGCCCAACCCTCCTCTTGCCTGTCCCAGGTCCATGCCCTGCTCCCCTCCAAGCCCCCCCAGCCGCAGGGATGGTGCCGAGTGGGCCGGGAGCCAGCGCCGGCAAGGACAGGCCGGGGCTGCAGTGCGGGCTCCGCACAAAGGCTATTTTTAGCCAGCTCAGTTTTAGCCAGCTCAGCTCCCGGAGGTGGGGAGGGAGGGCAGGAGACAGGCAGCATCTCATGAAAAGCCGTCAGAGCCCAGGGATGGGACACAGGCCTTGCTGGAGCCCCCACAGGCCCCCACTCCCCACCCGCTGCACACACAGGACACACACACGCGTCTCCTTCGGTTCAGTTTAATCCCTTTGGCTACAAAACCAACCCCAAAATCTTGGAAAAGGAGCTGAAAGGGGGGGATGGGGACACTCCCCCTGCAGGGGGGACGAGGCCCATCCCAGAGCCCATGGGGGGCTCAGCGATGGCTGAAGAACCCCTGGGGGTAGTTGAACTTGAAGGGCTTCAGGCGCAGGGGACCCCTGGAAAGGGAGAAGAGGGACAGGCCGTGACCCACAGGGATCAGGAACCCCCTGGCACCCACTGCCGGGGCAGACCCACACAGGACAGGCTTCAGGGCTGGCACCAGGGGACAGCAGTGCCACCCAGGTCCCTCCAGCACCCTCAGCCGGGGCTCTCACCTGACCAGGCGCAGACACATCTTCTCCTGGGGGAACTCCTTGGGCCCCTCCACGCTGGGATCGTGGGGCTCTGTCTCCAGGTACACGTCCAGCACCATGCACAGGCGCTGCAGCTGGTTGGTGAGGAGCTGGTAGCCCGGTTTGGGCCCCCACAGCTCCTTGTAGTGCACGTTGACCTCGCTCTCCATGGCCTGGGGAACAGGGATGGGGTTGGTGTGGGCTCGGATCCCTGCTCTGCACTGCCCGACCCTGCTGCTGCACCCAGGTGCCCACCCAGCAGCTCAGCCCAACATCTCCCTCGCTGTGGGCACAGAACCGCTGGGGACACCCCAAAAAGGGCCCCTCTGCCCCCCCTGTTACCCGAATGTTGTCGTCGTTGCTGCTGTTCCGCTCCCCCTTCCAGTTCAGGCACAGGCTGAAGACGGGCGGCAGTGTGGAATAACCGGGATTCAGGACCACGGCTGCCTGGAGCTTGGCTGGGCAGGGAGAACGTGTCACCCCCAGGGAAGGGAAGGTGGAGGAGCCCAAGGAGAGGGTGGAGGAGCCCAAGGAATAGAAAGTAGAGGAGCCCCAGAAGGTGGAGGAACCCGAAGCTCAAGCAAACCCCAAAGATGAGCCCAAAGCCAGTCAGGACCCCTCCAAGGCCCAGGTCCCCTCTGAGGAGGGCACAGAACCGCCACGGGGCAGAAGTGAGTGGAGAGCCCCAGGGCCTCAAACCAGCGGCATTTTCCATGCAGACCCCCAGAAGCTGCCCTGGGGGTGTGGGGAGTGGGAATTCCCAGGGGGAGGAGATCCTCTCACCTGTTCCCCTCTCTATCAGGGCCATGTAGTAGAGGTGAGTGTCCTCAGCCAAGCCGGCCTCGATCACATCCTTGGTGTAAGGCAGCTCCTGGGAGGGGATGAGGAATGAGCTGGTGCCAGGTGGGAGCTGGAAAAGGGCTGGGAGAGGGGTGGGAAGGGGCTGGAAGGGATTTATCCCTGTGTTTGGCACTTACAGCGTAGTCCTCAAAGGGAATTGCCGTCCACTTGACCAGGCGGGACACGACCTTGGTGGGGAAGAGCTGCTGGCACTCGCTGGACACCGGCACGACCCCGTGCTCTGGGGACAAGGACAGGGCCAGCTGAGCAGGGCAGGGCTGGGCACAAGCTCTGCCACCATCCTGCCACTGTCCTGCCAGGAGGGAGGCCCCCAAACCAGGACCTGGGATGTTGTTGTTATCCTTTGCACCTCCACCAGCTGCTCAGCAGGACCAGCAGAGGTCTGGGCTGGGATCCCCTTGGATCCCTGGGCTGGGATACCACTGGATCCCTGGGCTGAGATCCCCCTGGATCCCTGGGCTGGGATCCTCCTGGATTCCTGGGCTGTGATCCCACTGGATCCCATGATCCCCCTGGATCCCTGGGCTGCTCAGCAGGCCCAGGGGTGGTTCCCCTCCTGCCATGACCCAAATCCCTTCCCAGTGCTGGGATGGCCATTCCTAAGGGGGTGCTGGGCACTGAGAGGGGCACAGCCCTTCCCTGCCCCCCCAGACCAGGGCAGCTCCCCCATCCCTGCTGCCTCCCTCACCCCTCACGGACAGAGGGAATGACTGGGAACGCTAAAGGTGACACCAGCCAGCTCTGCCCTGCGTGGGGACCCTGCCACTGCTCCCCTGCCCCTAAGGATGGGTTGGAATGCCAGCAGGATCCTGCCACTGGATCTGTGTCCCTGAGGATGGATGAGGGGACCAGCAGGGGACTCTGTCACTGCAGCCCTGTCCCCAGGAAGGCTGGCACTCACCGAGGGAGGCGAACTGCTTGTGCAGGGCCAGGCGGGACTGCAGGCGGCTCCGCAGCAGCTTCACGGTCAGCTCCATGTGGCTGGCACTCAGAGAGTTGTCTGCAGTGACTGTGTGCTGTGGGCAGGAGGGATGGCACTGGCACTGGCACCCCACAGCCCAGCAGGCGCCAGCGGGGTGGTTCAGTGTCCCTCCCAGGGCTCAGACCATCCCGTCTGTGCCCCACACGCCCAGCCCAGCTGCGAGTGAAATGCGGTTTGGGAGCAGCTCTGAGGGGACAGCACAGGACATGAGTGTCCCCAGAGTGTCCCCAAAGCTGCTGTGGGGGACAGGGGAGGGGGTGTGCCGTGCCTGAGGCTGATCCTTGGGGAAGTGCAGGCCTCCCAGCTTCTGCACCCACACGTAGGGGTGCCCCAGCTCCGTCACGTAGTCACTCAGGGTCACGATGCTGTGGGGACAACAAGGAAGGATCATGTCACCCCAGAGCATCCCCTCACCCTGTCCCACCACTTCCAAAGCCTCCCTGCCAGGCCAGGGAGGGATGTGCCACGCTGGGAGTGGGGCACTCAGCCCAACCACCCCCCACTCACCCCACTTTGTCGAACTGGAACTGGTTGGCCGGGTTGGGGGTTTTCCTCCCGTGGTCTCCGGGGTAGAGGCAGTTGAGGAGGGAGTCTGGGGACAGCAGGTCCCTGCAGGAGGAGAGGAGAGCTCAGCCAGAGGCAGCCTGGGCTCCACATCTCTCTGGGGTGGCCACTAACAGGCCCCAAACTCAGAGAAGGGGATTATGAGCTCTACAAGTTCAGGACCAGAATGGCTTTCCCCGAATTCCTCTCCTAATGTTCTGTCTCCACCCTGGCTGGGAAGAAGATGGGAATCACAAGGTACCAACTTCCCAGGAGGCTGCTCCCTCCAAGGCATGTCTGACTGTAATCCCAAGCCTGACCAAGCACAGTGGGCTGTAGGATTTGGGGTCTGGCTCAAGGCACAGCCTCCCTGGTTTGGGGTGTCTACAGTGAAAATCCCAAGGGGATGGAGAGGCTGCATGTGGGACAGGCTGGGAGGCAACACCTGGTTCCAGATAAGTCCAGACCAGCTTCTCCCACCTCCCTCTTCCTCAGGCACCTCCTCCTGTCCCAGGGAGAGCCACAGCAGAGCTGGCAGCTTGTGGGAGCTCCCTGGGCAGGCCCCCAGAGCTGCCACTTCAGCTATTCCTCACCCCAGTCAGGCTCCAGAGGGCTCTGGGGAGCACAGGGAGAGGCAGCTGCATCTCCAGAGCTCAGGACAAGGTGACCTGAGGAGCTGCCAGCACGGCCTGGGGGAGGGAGGCTGAATGGGACAGCAGGAGAGGCTCTTCCCAGCTCCTGACAGCTCTGCCAAAGGCTCCCAAACTCCCTGCTCCTGGCTTGGCATGGCAGAGGGAGAGGAGGAGGGTGCCCTGGCTGCTCAGGGCTCCTGGACCCCAAGGGGCAGAGGGGTCACTGCCTGATGATCTCTAGGCTGTGCAGGGCTCCTGGATCCCAGGGGATCCCTGTCCCACGATCTCCAGGCTGTGCAGGGCTCCTGGCTCCCACAGGCCCCATGATCTTCAAGTTGGAGCCCACCAGACCCCCTTACCCAGCACTGATGGCCGTGGTCATCTCCATGGCCGTGGTGACCTTGGCCTTCACCGTCATGACGTTGAGGTTCATCAGGTAGTGGAAGGTGAGGTGCAGCACGTTCTCATCTGCGCCAGAGCAGGGACAGCATCGGTGGCTGCTCCAGCCCAGAGCCACCCCCTCCCCCCTCTGCTGGGACAGCCAGGGCAGAGGGGTGGTGTGGGAGCACCTGGATCCACTGGAATGACCCCACCAGTGTTTCCCAGGTGGTGTCTGCCAGGCCCAAGACCCCACGAGAAGAGAAAAGTTCCCAGTGGGATGGAAGAGCTGCAGGGCAAGGTCACCTACCCCGTGTGTGGTGGGTGAGAGGAGCTCCCTCCATGGAAGACTCAGGAAAACCCTTCCATCCCCCCCAGCTCTCCTTGAGGACCCCAGGGTGCTGCTGGGTTGTCCCTGTCCTGC